CTTAATCATAAGGTTGCACAATTTGATGGGTGAGGGGGTGAAGGAAATGGGAAAGATCTTGTGTGAAAAACAATGTATTCAAACTTTGTAAATAAATCAATATAAAATAAAAAAATTAAAATTAAAATCTTTCCATGTCAATCCAATTATTTTTGATACAGTGACTTTATGTATTCCTTCCACCTTCTTTTAAAGCTTCCTGCATCATTCAAGATTTTGCCATACCATTCTTTATTTCCTGGCTGCTGATATCAAGAGTGTTGATTGTGGAGCCCAGTAAACTAAAACTATTAACAATCTCAATCTCTTCACCATCCATAATGATTGGTCTAGTGGTGAGAGTCTTTGTTTTCTTAATGTTGAGCTTCAATTCATATCCCCAATGCAATATCTCTCCTGATCTCTTTACTGCTGGTACCAAAAAATTACAGGGATTGTAGATCCAAGTAAGAGGAAGTCACTGAAAATTTTAATCTTTTCTCCATGTATTATGATGTCACCAGAAGTCAATGTCAACTTGGAGACGGGTCTTAGAGAGCTGCCTGGTTAGCAGGAAGAGTCAACCATGCCAGTCACTGGTGTGAGCTAGCGACCAGGGTATCTTAAGTGCATGGCAGCGTAAGTGGCACAAATACACAAAGATTTCCACTGAGTAATGAACTAGATACAGGAGAAGTGCATCATGCTTGGGAGGGTGGAGGGACAGCGCAGGAGGGGAAGGCCCTCTATGAGGTGGATTGATTCAGTGACTGGGATAATCAGGATGGGAGTGTCAGAAACAGTGTGATTGGCACAGGACAGAGCAGAGTTTAGGGCTGTGGTACATAGGGTCGCTATGAGTCGCAAGCAACTCGATGGCACATAACAACAACAACACTAGAATTTGTCGAGCTAGAAGGGTGTTTGGGGAATAACATCTCTAGCAGAAGGGAAGTGACATTGTAGAAAGGCAATTAAGGACTTTTTGTGGAAATAAGAAGCTCTTCTTTGTGGATAGGTTCAATTTGAGAGAATTAGACAAAAATAAGCCTGAGAGGGCAAAGTAAAGTCAAGGGAGAAACTAAAAAGCCAAATAAAGGAATGAAGATCCAACATTCTGAGCAAGATGTCTTTGTTATGCAAGAAATATCCTGCTCACCTAATCTGCATTCTGGAAAGCTACCTTACTTGATAAGCCTCCTGCAGTACACCCAGCTGTCTCAAGGATTCTAGTGAACTCACAGTCATTACCTCTTTTTCATTATTTGTTTAGCAATGGCTGTCAGTGTCTGAAAAAAAATTCCTCAAAACATGAAAGATTTGATGTAACAGTAAGATTGGCCAGAGAACTGCACAGAAGTGTCATATTTCTTTTATTTTCTTTTTAGATTTTAATGAAAGTTTATAAAGAATTTGGATTTCCATTCATTCGTTGTTGCATACTTTCCTCCCTGTCCACCCCACACCCCCCAGTTCACTTTTTTCTTCAGAAAAAAGTTCTTTCTTTGTTATACAGTCCCCCTTGCCCCACCCTAGACCACTTTACTATGCAACTCTTACTTCATAGTACCTAATTTTCCCCCAATCACACTGAGAAATAAACAAACAATAACAAAACTCTTTGTTGTCAAGTCTGAACTAACTCATAGCTTCAGCAAGTTTCTGGAGGCTGTAAATTGCAGGTTAGTAGATTCATTCATCTTTCTCCTGTGGAAATACTGGGGATTTGAACTGCCAGGGAGGCTCAACCTTTGGGTTATCAGTGAAGGTACGTTTCTTGTAGACTTCACCACCAGAGATCTGATTGAATGTTGTTGTTGTTGTGTCAGAAGTGATTTAGCTGAGCCTTCAGTGGGTTTTCAGAGACAGTAAATCACATGAATAGAGACTGCCCTTCTTTCTCCCGTGAGACAGCTGGTGGATCTGAACTCTGTGCCTTTGGGTGGGCAGAATAGCTCCTTACCACTAAGCCACGGGAGCTCCTGACCCAGTGGCACAGGAGCTGGCAAATCTAAAGCTGTGCTTTCTAACTGGGAGCAGTGACTTCAGCATTTATGAATTTGGATAACTCAGTATTTATTATTCTTGTCATTAAATATTAAGGATTCTAAGAAGAAAGGGGGTAAATTATCCACCTTTAAGTTCAGACTCTTATCTTTTGGTTTAACTTGGCTTTTCCCTCCATTTTTTTTCTCTACCAAAGTAATCATCTATTGAATAAAACAAAATGTGGGTGATCTAGAACCTGGAGAAAACAGTAAAGAAGCAGAACACAAAGATGGGAGATGTGGAGTGAATGCTGGATGCTCAAAGAAAATGTCAAGATCTGTAGATGTGACTCCCAAGAAATCCACTGATACAAGGCTCATGTGTTTGGACCTGAGGCCTTTGAAACTCAAGACCTTAAACTTTCACTTGGCATTGAAATCATAAACTCTGGGCTGCTTCACATTGTGCTATCTTATTCCCCTGGTTACCCTAGAAGCAGAGGAAAAAATCATTTTCAAACAAGATTTTTTATTGTTTTCATCTTACCAGCTTCAGTTGAGCTATTGAAAAAAACCTTTCTTTTATGAAATTTCTCTTAGAAAACAACGGATTATGAGATAAGAGAAAATTACCTCAGGCAAGTGAAAGATATTTTTTAAGGAAAATATTCTAGAAGTTTCTCTGGATTTATATGTTCTATAAAATGTCAACCTTCTAAACAACTCTCTCTGTCCCCCACCCCTGCTTCCACACCCGTTCCTTCTTTTGACAGCAAAAGTGTGACATGGTTGTTTTTTTATCTAACACCGATCCTCCTGAATGAATAGCTTTATTCCTCATCTTGGTTTTTTTGTGGTTACATACCTTCTAGTTGACTATGACTCATAGCGAGCCTATGAACAACAACCCTGAACCTTGCTCTATCCTAAACCAAACTCACCATCTCTGGCACACCTGTCCCTATTGCCACAGTCACTGTATTAACCCATCTCAACTAGAGTCTTCCTCTTCGGTGCTGACCCTCAACCCTTCCAAGAGTCATGTCCTTTTCCAAGGACTGTTTTGCTGGCAAAGGGCCCAAAATACGTGAGGTATAGTTTCAAAATCCTTGCCTCCAATGGGCAACCTGATTTCACCTTCTCTAGGACAAATCTATTTGCTCTCTTGGCAGTCCATAGCAAGTTCAAGACTCTTTTCCAGCACCACAACTCAAAGGCATCTATTCTTCTCTTGACCTTTATTCACAGTCCGTCTCTCAGATGCATAGCAAACTCTTGAAAAGACCGTGGTCTGGATCTGGTATATCTTAGTCTTTAAACTGACATCATTGATTTTTAGCACTCTGGAGAAGTCCTTGATGACAGATTTCCCCAAGCAACTTGTCTTTTGATTTCCTGGCTGCTGGTGCTAAGAATTTTGATTGTGGATATGAGTAAGACTGAAGTTGTTAACAACCTCAGTTTTCATCTATCATAATACTCCCTATTGAGTCAGAAGAGGATCTTTGTTTTCTTCATGTCGAGACATAATTCCTATCGACAGCTGTAGTGCTTGACCTTAGATGACTGTAATAACAAGGATTAATCGAGCCAAATTTCTGTAAGCAAATCCCTCCTTCAAAGCAAAAAAGATGAAATTGTGTTGTTTTCTGCCATATGACAAAGAACAAAGCATTATAACTGATCTAATTGCTATCCAAACTCAAGCAAATTTATAAAGCTTTGTGGGGCTGAAAAATTGACTGAAGGGAGTAAAGAGTGGGAGAGATACTAAATTCTTCTCTGGGTGCTGTCCTCTCTAGAAAAGGCACTAGCAGGTGACACGTGAGGCAGCAAACCAGCAGCACACAGATTGTAACAGTGCATGTTTGGCAAACAAATGTTTTATTTTGGACTTGTCTGTAGGTCAGCTCAATAGTGTGGGGTTGGGGAGAAGAAGCTGCTGGTTTTAAACTAAGGAAACAGAATGTGTCCATGGACACTAAGAATTCCAATCATCTCACACATGAAAACATAAATACAAAGTCAGCTTCGGCACTGTTCCTGGTAGCATGCTACCTGACTGCTCCAGTCCTTGAAGGAAGGATTCCCTTTTGATGGATTGTTATAGACATGAAAAGAATTAATTTGCCAAAACTCAAAATCCCCCATACTCTTGTTCTGTTTTACAGGAATTTGGGGATTTTCCCAGCATTCAGTGAAATCTGGAGACATCAAGTCACACATTTGGAGAAGTTCAGGTTCTCCGGGTGCCCACCAGCCCCTAGGAGACTCTGATCTTTTGGAAGGAAATTTAACTTTAGTGTTAGAGGCTGTAGAGTGATTTATTCCCCCCCAGTTTGGGAAGCCTTGGAGTGGGGCATTCAATACATTGGTGTTTCTCTGTTCTTTTTCTCTATTTGCCATGCCCCACTCTGTTGGGATTTCTGAGGATGGGATCTGGTATATTATGTATTAAGGGATATTTCATAATGGTCTGTTTGCCTTTTACTTGGAAAAGCTCACATCTACAGTGGTATCATCTATCATCTGAGAAATGATTAATAGAAATATCATCTTCTGAAATCCGAGCAAACATCTTTTTTTTTTATGTTCACTAAAACTAATAAAATTTAATAAACATTTAAAAAAAAGAGTAAGGAGGTATCTCATTGTGGTGGACAAAGTGCTGGGATGCCATGGTACCTGGGACAGTGGAGTTTCACAGGGATGGGGTCCCCATGGGAGTATATGGGGGTGAGTGGGACAGTAGGAAATAAGGAATCATTCATACTGGAAGTGGACATCAGGAGAGCCCTCTGCTGTGGGACTTGGGCTTTCTGAACAAGACAGAGATTCTAGCCAACCTTCCCCTCTCCACCAGCCAAGTAGACCAGTGAGGGAGGGGTGAGAACACTATTTTATAAATAGAATTTGACTAGCCTTCTAGTACTCCCCTCAGAAGGAACCCAGGGGAATGAAGGTCAAGATCCTCAGATGCGTGTGACAGAGTGTGTGAGGAGCCAGGCACAGGCCCATAAACTGGTTCTGGGTTCAGCAGTTAGTGGCAGAACCTGGAGTGATGAATGGTTCAGCGTTCTCATCTATGCGGTTGTGCTTTTGTCTGGACTTGCATCTGCATTTGTTACTCAGAATAAGGAGGATTCCAATGAGGCACATGATCCCTGCACAGATCATCCCAGACAGCCGGATGCTTTCCCAGTCGTAGTAGAAGGGACTGTCTTTATCAAAAAAGTCATTGGCTTCTAAGGCTGGCAGGCCTGCTAGCAGTAGAACCCATGTCACTTTTTCCATGTCTCAACTCAGGGCAGAGCAGGGGCTGAAGGTACAGTGCAGAGGGCAGGTCTGGCAAGGCCACAAGGTCTGTGGAGTAAACATCTTTAATTACTCTAGAAGAGAATAATGATGAGAAATTCCATAAATCTGAAACCCTTATATAGGGTTTCAATTCTATATATATATGAAATTATATATAACTAAAATTCTATATATCTGAAACTATTTCTAGCTGGAAAACATGAATAATTGGTTGGTGATGTAAAGGTTATGAAGAAAATTTCTTTACTCCTCTCCTGTACTACAAGAAACATAAAAATCTAAGATATTATGGGGAAGCCTGTCAGATGAGCCTGTAACCATCTCCAGGACAAACCTGTTTATTCTCATAGTAGCCCATACTATATTCAACACTCTTCTCCAGCACCACAGCTCAAAGGCATCAATTCTCTTTCTTTCATCCCTAGTCACTGTCCAGCTCTTTGACACATAGCAAACAATTGTGAATACTATGGCCTGGATCAGGCGCACCTTAGTCTCTAATTTGACATTGTTGCTCTTCAGTACTCTGGAGAGGTCCCTGGTAGCTGACTTTCTCAATGGAATTAATTTCTTGATTTCCTGGCTGCTGGTACCAAGAGTGTTGATTGTGGAGCCAAGCAAACTAAAACTGTTAACAATCTCAATCTCTTCACTATCCATGATGCTATCAATCGGTCCAGTGGTAAGAATATTTTTTTTTCTTAATGGTGAGCTTTAATCCATATTGAAGGCTGCAGTCCTTGACCTTCTGCAGTAAGTGCATCAGGTCCTCCTCCGTTTCAGCAGCAGGGTTGTGTCACCTGCATTTTATATATATATATATATACACACACATATATATACACACATATATATAATATACACACATATATACACGTATATATAAATATATAATTATTATTGTTGTTGTTATGTGCCATTGAATTGCCTGAGACTCATAGTGATGCTATGAACAAAGCCCTAAACCCTACTCTATCCTATGCCAATCTCACTGTCTCTGACACACCTACCCCCACTACCTTAGTCATTGAATCAATTCTCCTCATAGAGGGTCTTCTTCTCCTACACTATTTCTCTACCCTCCCAAGCATGACATCCTTCTCCAAGGACTGGTCCATCCTTGTAGCATATCCAACCTATGTTAGACGAAGCTTCAGAATCCTTGCCCCCAAGAAGCAGCCTGGTTTAACCCTCTACAGGATGAACCTCTTCATTTTCTTAGTCCACGGTATATTCAATATTCTTTTCCAACACCACTCAACAGCATCAATTCTCCTTCTATCATCCCTAGTTATTGTCCACCTCTCTGATGCATACTAAGTGATTATGAAGACCATGGCCTATATCAGGCACACCTTAGTCTCCAGAATGACACCATTGCTCTTCAGTACTTTGGAGACAACTTTCCCTTAGAAGTATGTCTTTTAATTTCCTGGCTGCTGGTGTCAAGAGTGTTAACTGTGGAGCAAAGCAAATTAAAGCTGTTAACATCTCAATCTCTTCACCATCCATCACAATGCTGCCAATTGGCCCAGTGGTGAGAATCTCTGTCTTCTTAATATTGAGCCTAAATCCATATTGAAGGCTACAGTCCTTGATCTTCTGCAGCAAGTGCTCCAGGTCTTCATCTGTTTCAGCAAGCAGGGTTGTGTCACTCGCATAATGCAGATTATTGAGGAATCTTTTCAACAAGCAGGGTTGTGTCACTTGCATAATGCAGATTATTGAGGAATCTTCCTCCAATCCTGACGTCACACTTCTCCTCATACAGCTCAGCCTCCCAGATAACCTGTTCTGCATATAGGTTGAAAAGGTATGGAGATAGGACACCTCCCTGACATACACCCTTTTCAATTTTGAACCATGCAGTGTTTCCTTGCTGTGTTCTGACCACTGTTGCCTGGTCCAAGTATAGGTTTTGCATTAGCATGATCAAGTGTTCTGGGATTCACATTCTTCTCAGAGTCAGCCACAGTTTGTTGTGATATACACAGTCAAACGCCTTTACATAATCAGTGAAACACAGACAGACATTTCTCTGGTACTCATTATGACTTCCTAACTGGTGTGCAAGGATGGTTCAATCAGTTTTTTCAATAAGAAAAATAATCTAAAATAATCACATCAACATAGAGAGAGATCAGTTGGCCCAGTGGACTGAAAGCGATGTTACCAAGCCAAAGGTGGGTGACTTTTAAATAAGCGGCCCTCAGGCCTCTAGATCATATAGCCCTGGTGGGTCCACTTGTCGTACAGTGGTAACTTGTGCTTGCTGTGAGGCTGAACACTGTGACACTAATGTGTCAAATGCGTGAATGGTGGGTTATCCAATGCGAACAGAGAGTGGGGGGGGGGAGCTCCCCGATTAAAACAAGCTTGGAAGCAGGAGTGACATCCACTTCCATAATAGCTTGCCTCTGGAAATCCTATGAACCTGGAGGGAGGATGAAAGACACACAAGTGTTGAGGACTCTCCTTCATAGGGTCGCTATGAGTCGCCTGTGACTTGATGGCACTTAACAACAACAACAAAAACATCACATTAACAAAACAAAGAATAAGAACAGCTAATCTTATTAATTGAAGCAGAAAAGACCTTTGATAAAATAAAACATGTTTTCCTGGTTAAAATAATAAAGAAAATAGCAACAGAAGAGTTTCCTCAACTGAGTGGAAAGTATACACACCAAGTGCTAACACTGTTTTCATTGGAGAGAGATTAAAGGCATTCACCCTGCAAACAGGAACCAGACAAAGATTCTCACTATCCACACTCCTATTAATATTTTATTGGAAGTACTAGGTAGGATAATAAGACAAGAGACAGAAATAAACACTAACCAAATTGGTAAAGAGGAGATAAAATTGTCACTGAATGCAGATAACATGATAGTATACAAGGAAAATCTCAAATACTAAAACAAAAATAAAAACACTGGCAGATCTAGAAGATCAATTTAGTATAATGACAAGATACAAGATCAATATTAAAAAATCAGTTGAGTTTCTCTACAACAACATTGAAAACACAGAAGGAAAATAATAAAGCAGTACAATTTATGATAGCCAACCTTATGTAAAATACTTAGGGATAAAGCTATTTAGAGACACAAAACATCTTTATAAGGAAAACTACAAAACATTGTTATGAGACATAACTAAATAGAAAAATATTCCCTGTTCATGGGTATAAAGACTCAATATTGTGAAAACAGCAATCCTTCCAGAAGCAATCTACATGTTCAATGCAATCCCAACACAGATACAATATCACTCTTTAAGGAAATAGAAAAGGCAATCATCAATTTTATTTGGAAAGGAAAGAGACCCAAAATAAGCAAAATAAAAATGGAGTGGCATTATTTTCCCAGATCTTAAATCTTTCTGCAAAGCCATGTTGTTGTTGTTGTTGTTATGTGCCATCAAGTTGCCTATGACTTACAGCAACTCTGTGTACAACAGCTCTGAAATCTGCCCTATCCTGAGCCAATCTCATCATCTCTGAGAGATCTAATCCCATTTTTCCAGTCACTGAATCAGCCCATCTCATCCTAGGCCTTCCTCTCTTGCCGTGTCCCTCCACCCTTCCAAGCATGATGTTCTTTCCTAAGGATTGGTCTCTCCTGGTCAACTGTCCAAAGTATGTAAGAAGGGGCTTCAAAATCCTTGCCTCCAGGGAGCAGCTTGTTTTTACCCTTTCCAGGACTGACCTGTTTATTCTCCTGGCAGTCCACAGTATGTGCAACACTCTTCTCCAGCACCAGAACACCAAGTCATCAATTCTTCTGTCATCTTTAATCATTGTTCAGCACTTTGATGCATAGCCTGTATCAGGCACACCTGAGTGTTGAAACTGACACCATTGTTGCTTAGTACTCTAGAGAGGTTGCTGACAGCAGACTTTCCAGTGCAATTATTATTCTTTTTCTTTTTTCTTTCTTTACTTCCTGACTGCTGGTACCAAGAGTGTTTAGCCAAGAGTGGAAGCAAGCAAGCTGAAATTGTTGACAATCTCAATCTTTTCTCCATCTATCGTGAAGCTGCCAATTGGCACAGTGGTGAGAATCATTGTTTTCTTGATAGTGAGATTCAGTCCATATTAAAGACTACAGTCCTTGACCTTCTGCAGCAAATGCCTCATGTTCTCCTCAGAAAGCAAAGTTGCGTCATCTGCATAACACAGGTTGTTGATGAGTTTTCTCCAATAACCAAAACACTATGTTTTGTACATGACATGATATGACAGGCACATAGACCAATGGAATAGAATCAAGATCCCAGAATATTTGATGAGAAAACAAATTAATTAAATGAGGAAATGAAATAATCCTCAACAAATGTTGCTGGCAAAACTGGACCTCTACTTGCAGGAAACAAAGAGGATTCACAAATCACATCATATAAAAAAACAGATCCAAAGTGAATCAGAGACCTGCAGGTGAAACTCCAAACCATAAAGATCATAAGAGACAAAATAGGAATAAATGAAGAAACTCTGGCCTATAGTATAAAGAAGCCTACTGGGAATATACCTAAAGAGACCATAACTGCCATACAAGCAGATATATGCACACCCATGTATATCGCAGCTTTGTTCACAGTAGCAAGGAGCTGGAAACAGCCTAAGTGCCCATCAACAAATGAATGGATAGAGAAGCTGTGGTATATTCACACAATGGAATACTGCGCATTGAAAAACAAGGAACTCATGCAATATTATTCATAATGGGTGACCCTGGGGGACATTATGCTGAGTGAAATATCTCAGTCACAAAAGGACAAATACTGCATAGTGACACTGTTGTAAAACAGGACTGACATCAGGGTTGGGGTAACAATGAGAAAAACTGGATGAATTATTTATACTGCATTGAAATAGATGAGGGTGAGAACAGTTTAAAAGCAATATATTTTAGGGCATTATGATTATTTTAAGAGTCCAGAATGAAGGTTGTAGAATGGAGTATACTCGGGGT